AAAAAAAATATATATATATATATATATATATATAATATACATATATATTATATACATATATACACACACACACACACACCATATCTGGAGTTCCAGTGTCTTTTATCCTAAGACATTAAAATTTCCTTCTACCGCTTATCCCCACCTAACTTTCTATAGCTGTGCTGAAACAAAATACTATAAAGGAGCGAGTTTTATGAATAATACAGTAATCGTCTAATTTATACTAATGTGAGCTTTAATAGACTGACAAGAATATAAAATTCTAACCCTAGAATCTGTAAATGCTGCCTTATTTGGAAAAAGGATCTTTGCAGATGTGATAAGGATCTTGAGATAAGGAGATTGCCCTGGATTATTTAGTGGGCCCTAAATGTAATCACATATGTCTTGCAAGAGGGAGACACAAGGAGGTTAGACACACACACAGAGGAAGGGATACTATCAAGACAGGCAGAAATTAGAGTGATGGCGCCTCAAACCAAGGAATGCCTACAGCTATCAGAAGCAAACCGAGGCAAGGATTCTTCCGTAGAACCTCAAGGGAGTGCAGCCTGGCTGATACACTGATTTTTACCCAGTGATACTGATTTTTTTCTTCTGGCCTCCAGAACTGGAAGAGAATCCATTTCAGTTATTTATTTATTTATTTTAGTTGAAGTCACACTCTGTTGCTCAGACTGGAGTGCAGTGGCCGCTCCTGGCCACCGCAGCCTGGACCTGCCAGGCTCTGGGGATCCTTCCCCCTCAATCTTCCAAGTAGCTGGAATTACAGGTGTGCGCTACCACGCCTGGCTAATTTTTTTGAATTATTGTAGAGATGATGTCTCACCAAGTTGCCCAGGCAGGTCTCGAACCCGCAGGCTCAGGCAGTCTACTCACCTTGGCCTCCCAAAGCGCGGGATTACAGGCTGAGCCACTGAGCCCAGCCAATTTCTGTTATTTTAAGCCACCAAGTTTTTGGGACTCTATTACAGCAGCCACAAAGCATGAATACAAAGGTAGTGTGATTTAGTGAAAAATTGCAGAAATTTACCAGTGAAGTGGCTTTATTTTAGCTATAGGCAATAATCATAAATAGAATAACAGATGTACCCAAGAAGTCCTTAGTTTACAAAGAAGTTTCCCTAGGCACTATTGGTCTCTATCCATCTGTTGGTACATGGTGGTATATTAACTACTCGAATGATATAGTTTTTTTTTTGTTTTTTTGTTTTTTTTGAGTTGGAGTCTCACTCTGTCACCCAGACTAGAGTGCAGTGGCCGCTCCCGGCCACCGCAGCCTCGACCTGCTGGGCTCCAGCGATCCTTCTGTCTCAGCCTTCCGAGTAGCCAGAATTACAGGCATGCGCTACCACGCACGGCTGATTTTTTGATTTATTGTAGAGATGAGGTCTCGCTGCCCAGGCGGGTCTCGAACCCGCGGGCTCAGGCAATCCACTCACCTCAGCCTCCCAAAGGCGCAGGATTACAGGCTGAGCCACCGAGCCTGGCTTGATATAGTTTTAAAACGTTCCTCATTATTTCTCATATTGCCCAAGATTTATAATTCCTTTCTACATTCATACACACACCCAATAAAATGGTTAAAATTGGCCAGGCTCAGTGGCTCAGCCTATAATCCCAGCACTTTGGGAGGCTGAGGCGAGTGGATTGCCTGAGTCCACGGGTTTGAGACCAGCCCAGGCAACTTGGCAAGACCTCATCTCTACAATAAAACAAAAATTAGCTGGGCATGGTATCGTGTACCTGTAGTTCCAGGTACTTGGAAGGCTGAGGCAGAAGGATGGCCGGAGCCCAGCAGGTTGACGCTGGGATGGCCGTGGGTATGCCACTGCACTCTTAACCTGGGTGACGAAGTGAGACTCCAACTCAAAAAAAAAAGGTTAAAATGTAAAAGACAGCCGGGCTCTGTGGCTCAGCCTGTAATCCCGTGCCTTTGGGAGTCTGAGGTGAGTGAATTGCCTGAGCCCACGGGTTCGAGACCCGCCTAGGCAACTTGGCAAGACCTCATCTCTAAAATAAGTCAAAAGTGAGCCGGGCGTGGTAGCACATGCCTGTAGTTCTAGCTACTTGGAAGGCTGAGGTGGAAGGATCGCCGGAGCCCAGCAGGTCGAGGCTGCGGTGGCCAGGAGCGGCCACTGCACTCCAGTCTGGGCAACAGAGTGAGACTCCAACTCAAAAAAAAAAAATCAAATTAAATTTAAAATAATGATAACACCAAATATTGGTGAGAATGTGGAGCAGTGGAAAGCTCATACCTCACTGGTGGAAGTGAAAAATGAAAGATGTCTTGGCAGTTATAAAGATATACGTACACTTATCATACCCTTAGGCCAGCAATCTCACCCTTAGATATGTGCCCAAGATAAATGAATACATATGTCTACACAAAGACTTGCGTGTAGATGTTCATAGCAGCCTGTTTCATAATAGCCAAAAAATGAAAACAGTCCCAGTATCCATCAACTGGTAAATGGATAAACAGATTGTGGTATATTCAGCAATATATAAAATTGAACTATTGATGCATCTAATAGCATGAATAAATCTCAAAAGCGTTATGCTAAGTGAAAGAAACCAAAAACAAAAGACTGCACCCTAATATGATTCTGTGTGTACTATAGTCTAGAAAAGGCAATGTAATAATAATAGAAAATAGATCAGTGGTTGCTTGGGCTGGGATCTGGGGAAGGGGACTGACTGATGGAAAAGGGGCACAGGGGTACTTTTGGGAATGGTGGAAATGTTCTGTCGTAATTGTGGTGAGGGGTACGTGACTATACGTTTGTCAGAGCTCACCAAAATTGGTGATTTTTTATTGTATAGTGAATTTGAATTATTTTGATTTAAAAATAAAAAGTAGATTTCAACTCAGTCTATCCAAAGTATTACAACTTCTGAATCAGTCCAGTTTAATAGAGTATTACTTGAGAGACCTTTATTCCCCTTTATTGATCATACTTCCTTTTTTCTTTTTTTTTTTTTGAGTTGGAGTCTCACTCTGTCACCCAGACTGGAGTGCAGTGGCCGCTCCCAGCCACCACAGTCTCTACCTGCTGGGCTCTGGCGATCCTTCCGCCTCAGCCTTCCAAGTAGCTGGAACTACAGACACGTGCTACCACGCCCGGCTCATTTTTTATTTATTATAGAGATGAGGTCTTGCCAAGTTGCCCAGGCGGGTCTCGAACCCGTGGGCTCAGGCAGTCCACTCACCTCAGGCTCCCAAAGGCACGGGATTACAGACTGAGCCACCTTTTTAATTTTTTATTTTTTTAACTATTCTTGGGATTTGGTGGGCAAAAGTGGTTCAGGTCCCATATAAGCAGCTTGTCCCACAGGAAAGTGGCCTAGATGAGCAAGAGCTGGCTGGGAGAAGGGATCAGCCCCAAGACAGACCAACAGCCAGGAAGGGAGGGAGTTCTGGGCTCCAGGCCGGGTGCCCCGGGCACCCAGCATCTTCCCTTATTTTAAACACAACAAAACTTCAGACTCCAGTTTAGCCATCTCGAGCTTCAGAAGCCTGGGTCTGTGCCTGCCCACCAGCCTGGAGGTAAGGAGTATGAGGAAGCCTCTGGGGAGTAATGCTGAGCTCTTCCCAACCTTGCTTCTCTCACATCTGGGGGCTTGCAAGCACCTTGTGATAGGCACTATGCCAGGTGGTTTTCCCTCCTATTTCTCATTCCGATTTCCCAATGAGGTCTGCATTTTTCCTATTTTCAGGTGAGGAAATTCAAACTCAGAGAAAGTCAGACACTTGGCAAAGGGCACAGATTGCAAATGGTAACACTGGGATTTGAATCTAGGGATCTCTTGGATTCTTTTCCATTGTGCTAGGAAGTGTCCTACTTGGCCACCCTGGCCAGATGCAAGTTCATGGAGTCCCTGGCAAAGCTAGCCTACTTCGGCAATTTTTTTCCTGCCTAGGTGGACACAGTTGATATCCCATAGTACGTGTTTGTCTCTCATGAGAGTGCAGCCATTGTTAATTATTTTACAGAACCCAACGCTGGACAGATTCAAGAAGGAATTGGAGAAGCCGTGAACAATATTGTGAAACATTTTCACAAACCTGAAAAAGAGGTACTGTGAGCTATAAAGCTTAGTAGAAGGGGACTTTTTTTTTTTTTTGAGTCTGCATCTCACTCTGTCATGCAGACTGGAGTGCAGTAGCGCATTCACACCTATGGCAGCCTGGACCTGCTGGGTTCAGGTGATCCTTCTACCTCAGCCTTCCAAGTAACTGGAACCACGTATGCATGCCACCACACCCAGCTAATTTTTTTATTTACTGTAGAGGCGAGGTCTCGCCAAGTTGTCCAGGCTGATCTCAAACCCCTGGGCTCAGGCAATTTTCTCACCTCCACCTCCCAAAGTGCTGGTATTACAGGCGTGAACTACCACACCCAGCAAAACTTAGTAGAGGGGGACTTTAAAAGATTGCTTTTTTATGTGGTACATGAGGCAATATGGGGTGCTTTAATTTTCACTTGCACATTTTCTTATAGTTGTAAAAACATGCTTTATAAAGCTGTCCTCAGTACATACTTCTTTAGTGTTTTTCTTAGACATCGATGTACAGATTGTTCTTTGGCATTGTATGTTATGCTCCACAGAGAGGAAGCCTCACGGTGTTGCTGTGTGGAGAGAATGGCCTGGTAGCAGCACTCGAGCAAGTGTTCCACCATGGGTTCAAATCTGCCCGCATCTTTCACAAGAATGTCTTCATCTGGGACTTCATAGGTAAATAAAGCAGATATGTGTAATTATAAGGTCATTGAAATGCTTCATAGAAAACTCAAAAACCGCCGGGCTCGGTGGCTCAGCCTGTAATCCCATGCCTTTGGGAGGCCGAGGTGAGTGGATTGCCTAAGCCCGTGGGTTCGAGACCCGCCTGGGGAGCAAGACCTCATCTCTACAATAAATTAAAAAATCAGCCGGGCGTGGTAGCGCATGCCTGTAATTCCAGCTACCTGGAAGGCT